TAAATGTGTGACAGAGTAAACCTGAGTGCACCATCTAACGAAAAAAGTCGTCAAATAAGTAGGTAATGGTCATATGTAGTATGTACCCATCCAATCAACTGGACACTCAAAAATTTGGTCAAAAACGGCAGCAAGGGGTCCATATTTACTCCGTCACATGTTTATAGTGTGACAATGTAACCATTCCCGTGCCGGCCGTATTTAAGCGATATCTTATCACCTGATTAAGATATCGTTATGTGACAAAGTTAGCCTAGAGGATGAGGAGATTATCCTAACCATCAAGGGTTTGTGTAATTTCATAGTGTGACAAATTCAACTACACTGTGCCTTTTAATAGGGTCACTTATATTTACCAATATCCTCAAACTCAAATGAACGTGTCCATATAGTAGTGAACTACTTAACTCGAAGATTCGTCTCAATCATACATTTTTATCAGCGCAATTCAAAATTTAAATAAAAATTCTAAAGCAGAAGTGAACGTTATTCAAAAAATATATTTCCTCAACTGATTTGTTTTTTAAATGTTTAAATTTTATAAATAAATAGTCCATAATGTCTTGTTTCACTTATACCCGAAATACTATTTCTAAAGCACCACCCCAAGCCTGATAGCAGCTGCAAGCACAAACATATAAATTGTTTAAAGATTTTCACACCATATTATTGAATAAATTGCATATTAGGATGTAAAAGTTTTAATATGTAATACATAACACATAATATATAATATAATACACGTTAATTAAAAGTAAAATGTCTAGTATTTGTGTTTGATTGTTATTATTAACTATTGATTAAGTTACGTTAGATTGAAATATTTGCTTAAAACATTTGCCTTAACCGTCGCTGGCCTTAGGAACGATCCTTCGGCTTCTTGTAAAGCTCTTCCTTGAAAGTGCTGGTTTACATTGTAATGCAGGTACCTAATGCCGAAGTAAAATAACAAAGGTGGTCGACTCATTCGATGGCCTTGTTGCGTCGCAACGAATCCTCATAAGATAAGATAAGATAGTTTGTGTGTTCTTATAGGCACATGTCATTTCCATCAAAGTTGAGTTCTGACCATTCATCAGTGTTTCCAGCTTTTTGAGCATTGAGTAGCATATTTTTAATGCGACCTTTAACAAGTGCAATTGGGGACGAGAAGTCAATCTTACTAGAAGGTTTAAGGAATTTATTCCACATATTCGAGGATTTATATACAAACAAATTGGTTGCAGCGGGGTTAATAAAGTAGTTATCACGTCGGGGTGACTTTTGAAATAAATTGTACATCAGTATTGGAGTGTGAAGTTTGAATATTTTAAACATTTCAAGTAGACAGTGGTACTTATACAAATTATGCACGCAGAGTATTTTGTTTCTGCTGAGAAGGGGTTTACTTGATTCTCGTTTATAGAAGTCGGCTCCAAGTTTTTGGGATCCAATTGGGCGGGTTCTAGCACATGTTTTGAACTTATTACTGTACGCCTCTTGATCACCAAATAGAATATGAGTGCACTTTTTTTGAATTTTAAATATTGGTTCAAGCCTATTGTTCGATATGCCTCCCCACACTGAGATCCCATATCCTAGATGAGATTCGAAGAGGGTGTGGTAGAGGTCATTATACAGCTCTTTAGGTATACATCTTCTCATACGGCAGAGTTTACCGACTTCACACTTTAATTTAGAACTAAGATATGCAGTATGAGGTTTCCAGTTAAGGTTTTTATCTATAATAACGCCGAGGAATTTAGTTTCATCAACACGTTTAATGACTGTGTTATTCAACGTTAAAATAAGATCATTACTACTACTACTACTACTAGTTACATCCTTCTTTCCTGGTGTAAAGTGAATGTAACAGCATTTCTTGATGTTAATGTGGAGAAGATTGCATTTCATATAATTGTAAACAAAATTCATTATAGTATTAGCTTTTTGGTAGAGATTCTGGACAGATTTGTCGACTACAAATATATTGGTGTCATCAGCGAAAAGTATAAATTTTCCTAGGTCTGATGAGTTATAGATATCGTTTATACTTTATGTAAATTATAAACAGTAGCGGTCCTAAAACACATTTGTGGTACTCCACAAATAACAGGTAGTTTATCAGATTCCTCACCTAAAACTGAAACGTACTGCTGTCTGTTAGACTTCCAATAAGCTCGTTTGCGTTACCTCTTATACCATATTTGTCAAGTTTTATGAGGAGTTTATCGTGACTGATAGTGTCAAATCCCTTTGATAAGTCGATAAAGATACCTAAAACATGTTGCTTTTCCTTTATATGGGAGTTTACATAGTCAACTGAGTAATTAAGGGCGTGGTTAGTTGAGTGACTCTTCCTAAAACCAAACTGGTTCTCAAACAAAACGTTCTGCGACACAAGAAAAAATGTACAAACGGGAATAGATTACTTTCTCAAACAACTTTCCGAACACAGCTAGGGTAGATACTGGCCTATAGTTTTCGAGATATTCTGTACCGTATTTTTTTGTATATAGGGCTAATTTTACCAATTTTCAGTCGGTCTGGAAAAGTTCCATTTCTCATGTGTTCATTAAATAATACTGACAGGAGTGGGCTTATAATCTTAGACGTTCGTTTGATGACGTGAATAGGGTTAGGGATGTCACTAACTTTTCCATTTTTGAGTTCGCTAATGATTTTCTCTATTTCTTCTGGTGTACAATCGCTGAGAAATATAATTGAGGTATTTGGCCTTGGTAAGTAGTCCGTAAAGCATTGAATTGGATTTAGTCTAATTTGACCGGTTGTACTGTATGATTCATTCAACTTAATTAATTACAGTGGGTGTGGCACGCCACTCCCTTTTTTTCATCATTGTCGCCATAAAGTGGGAACGTTTCCAGCTAAGAACTTCAAAATTTCTAGACACATTTGGCTTGATAATTGAAGTGCTTTCCCGAAATTTCAAGTTAGTTGTTCACAATTTAACCGAGTTGTGACCCTTTTAAGAACTTGATTAAAGTTATTAAAGGGTTGCATGTGGGCAGTTACACAACACTGAACTGTAAAACACAACACTGAACTGTAAAACAGAACACTGAACTGTAAATCACAACACTGAACTGAAAAACACAACACTGAACTGTAAAACACAACACAGAACTGTAAATCACAACACTGAACTGAAAAACACAACACTGAACTGTAAATCACAACACTGAACTATAAAACACAACACTGAACTGTATAACACAACACTGAACTGTAAATCATAACACTGAACTGTAAATCACAACACTGAACTGTGAAACACAACACTGAACTGTAAATCCCAACACTGAACTGTAAAACACAACACTTAACTGTAAATCACAACACTGAACTGTAAAACACAACACTGAACTGTAAAACACAACACTGAACTGTAAAACACAACACTGAACTGTAAATCACAACACTGAACTGAAAAACACAACACTTAACTGTAAATCACAACACTAAACTGTATAACACAACACTGAACTGTATAACACAACACTGAACTGTAAATCATAACACTGAACTGTAAAACACAACACTGAACTGTATAACACAACACTGAACTGTATAACACAACACTGAACTGTAAAACACAAAACTGAACTGTAAAACACAGCACTGAACTGTAAATCATAGCACTGAACTGTAAAACACAACACTGAACTGTACATCACAACACTGAACTGTAAAACACAACACTTAACTGTAAATCACAACACTGAACTGTAAATCACAGCACTTAACTGCAAATCACAACACTGAACTGTAAAACACAACACTGAAATGTAAAACACAACACTGAACTGTAAAACACTACACTGAACTGTAAAACACAACACTGAACTGTAAAACACAACACTGCACTGTAAATCACAACACTGAACTGTAAAACACAGCACTTAACTGTGAAACAAAACACTGAAATGTAAAACACAACACTGAACTGTAAAACATAACACTGAACTGTAAAACACAACACTGAACTGTAAATCACAGCACTGAACTGTAAAACACAACACTGAACCGTAAAACAAAACACTGAACTGTAAAACACAACACTTAACTGTAAAACACAACACTGAACTGTAAAACACAACACTGAACTGTAAAACACAACACTGCACTGTAAATCACAACACTGCATTGTAAAACACAACACTGAACTGTAAAACACAACAATGAACTGTAAAACACAACACTGAACTGTATAACACAACACTGAACTGTATAACACAACACTGAACTGTAAATCACAACACTGCACTGTAAAACACAACACTGAACTGTAAAACATAACACTGAACTGTAAAATACAACACTGAACTGTAAATCACAACACTGAACTGTAAAACACAACACTGAACTGTAAAACATAACACTGAACTGTAAATCACAACACTTAACTGTAAAACACAACACTGAACTGTAAAACACAACACTGAACTGTAAAACACAACACTGAACTGTATAACACAACACTTAACTGTAAAACACAACACTGAACTGTAAAACACAACACTGAACTGTAAAACACAATACTGCACTGTAAATCACAACACTGAACTATAAAACACAACACTGAACTGTATAACACAACACTTAACTGTAAATCACAACACTGAACTGTAAAACACAACACTGAAATGTAAAACACAACACTGAACTGTAAAACATAGCACTGAACTGTAAAACACAACACTGAACTGTAAATCACAGCACTGAACTGTAAAACACAACACTGAACTGTATAACACAACACTGAAATGTAAAACACAACACTGAACTGTAAAACATAACACTGAACTGTAAAACACAACACTGAACTGTAAATCACAGCACTGAACTGTAAAACACAACACTGAACTGTAAAACACAACACTGAACTGTAAAACACTACACTGAACTGTAAAACACAATACTTATCTGTAAAACATAGCACTGAACTGTACAACACAGTTACTGACTACTAACATTTCTCTAGGTAACTACCAGTAAAGATGTCTGACCAGAGCACTGAACTGTACATAGCAGCTTGGCAGGGTCACACAGACGTTGTAAAAGAGCTGTTAACACACAGTGATATTGCTGTTAACAAGGTGGGTAAGTATGGTACACCACTGTACATACTTACATAGCAGCTAGAGAGGGGCACACAGAGGTTGTAAAAGAGCTGTTAACACACCGTGATATTGATGTTAATAAGAGGGGTGAGTTAGGTACACCACTGTACATAGCAGCTGATCAGGGTCGCACAGAGGTTGTAAAAGAGCTGTTAACACACCGTGATATTGCTGTTAATAAGGCGGATGAGTCAAGTACACCACTGTACAGAGCAGCTCAGTGGGGTCACACAGAGGTTGTAAAAGAGCTGTTATCACAACGTGATATTGCTGTTAATAAGGGGGATGAGTCATGTACACCACTGTACATAGCAGCTCAGCAGGGTCACACAGACGTTGTAAAAGAGCTGTTATCACACCGTGATATTGCTGTTAATAAGGGGGATGAGTCAAGTACACCACTGTACAAAGCAGCTAAGAAGGGGCACACAGAGGTTGTAAAAGAGCTGTTAACACACCGTGATATTGATGTTAATAAGAGGGGTGAGTTAGGTACACCACTGTACATAGCAGCTGATCAGGGTCGCACAGAGGTTGTAAAAGAGCTGTTAACACACCGTGATATTGCTGTTAATAAGGTGGATGCGTCAGGTACACCACTGTCCATAGCAGCTGAGAAGGGTAACACAGAGGTTGTAAAAGAGCTGTTAAAACACAGTGATATTGATGTTAACTGGGAGGGTAAGTTAGGTACACCACTGTATGTAGCAGACGAGGAGGGTCACACAGATGTTGTAAAAGAACTGTTAACACACAGTAATATTAATGTTAAATTGGAGAATAAGAAAGGTGATACTCCTCTCCTGATAGCTGCTAGGATGGGTTATTTGGACATTGTGAAACAAATGTGCCAAGTCGATGGCGTGGATAAGAACCACGTTAATAATTTAGGTTATACCCCCTTTCTCGCTGCTGCTGAGCAAGGTCATGCTTATATAGTTAAATACCTTCACGAATTAGGCTGTGTCAATATGGAGCAAGTGGATAACAACCAGGCAATATATGTGTTCTGTAAAAGTTCAGTCTTCAAAACACTTGTTGACATCTTCGTAGATCTACACGATAATGACACAAAGATATCAAGTTTATTGAATGTATTGTACGTAAGTTTGCAGGCTAACATCAAATGTGACTGTGGTGCGGTCGAGTCTCCAGACAGTCCAAAGAAATCCAAAGAAGCAAAGAAGTCTAAAGAAGCGTTCGAAAAGGACGCTTTTAAAAAGGTTCTTCGAGAAACATTGGGAGAGGCTGTTTTCGAAAGATTTTCCGCCCAAATAGATAGAATTTCTGATGAAAGATATGAAGGAGACATTGACGCAAAACTTGTAGCAAAATGTATTGCTAAAACCTATTTGAAGGAGAACGATCAAGGATGCTGCGCTCCCATAGAAAATATTAAAGAGGACATCGAAAAGTGTCTGTTTTCTGCATGCATTAGCAAGTTTTCGCACAAGTGTACTGTTCGAGGAAGCTTTGACTATTTTACCTGCTTATTTGCAATATTAATTCATATCTCCGACATTGCTTCTGATGTTTATGTAGGCTTCAAAACGCTAAAAGGTTTTTCTTCCAGATTAGGGATACTAATGCTAGTCATTGTTTTTGTGACGTTGTTCCACGAGAATATCCGCTCTTCAATTTCAACATTTGCTACTGGGATAGAGCAACTCCGGACAAATCTTGGAAAAGTCACATTTACACCAGAAGATTGGAAAGGTTCTGAACTAAACTATGGGCATGAATTGTGGGTGCCATTTAAATATCTAGGACGATTCTTTTGGCCGTTCAAAGTAATAGGACATTCATCAATATCAACATCTGTTAGAGCCGGATTTTTCAACGTACTCTCGATATTTTGGCTCCGTCCAGTTGTTGATCGTCTGCAATTTCTCACGCACTCACCTTCTAAATTACGAGTCATCTATAGGCAGCAGGCCAAAGACAAATCTCTTGCCCAATACTATATGATAACGGAACAGATTCCTGAGCTTCTTATCCAGTTTTACATTTTTCAGATCTACTTCAACATTTTGAGGAAAGATGGGGACTTCAGAAGCTCTGGATGTACGGACTATCATAGTTTCGATTACGATTCAGGGGATTTTGTGTGTGTCGAAAACCTACTGAGATTAAACGATATGCGCGTCATGGGTGGAAGTATATTCAATGATAGTACCGTTTGTGAAGATTCCCAACAGCGTGATCGGTTTGGAAGTGATACTTCGGAAACTCCATCCAGCAACACCAAAGATGTCTACTGTTGCTCTCGTGCTATTGTATATAGCTTATGTTCTGATGATCCCTTCTAGACTCTTCCTATTTGCAGCAGTAATGCACTCAGTCCCCAATCACTTCTATTTTGTTGGATATCTTGGACTAATAACTTTGATTTGGCTTGTTGTTAATAAGATCACGATAAGTAGAGCAAGCAAGCCTGAGAAAAGACCAAGTTCAAAGGATAAAGAAGAAGATCTTACGATATTACGACGTATAGAAATGGTGACGTATAGTATCGGTGATATGTGGTCTCTCCTGCTATTCAGTTTTAGAGATGTTATTGTCATTTCGCTACGTCGACCGAATGCATATCTTATTTCCCCCTCAGAAGTAGGCTACACAACTTTAAGGACCTGGAAAGAGATGATGGTCATATCAACCTACATGTTTGTCGAGGGAGTTATAGGTGCGGTTTATGTTGAGAATAACTACCCCTGCGGTAGGAATACTGATATCTTCAAATACCAGGGATGGCTCTACCTAACACTACTAATTATTTCAACTACCCTCATAACTTTGCTTTCTTACATTTTCCAGGTCAATAAAACGAACTTTAAAAACTTCCGAATGAAGTCAGCCTTTATCTGTGGATATGGGTTAATAATGTGGTACATGGCAGGTTCTTTAATCTCCAGGACAAGATTTAGCCTGATGGAGCCGAAATGGGTGATCATCGTATTAGTGATCCTGATGATTATCTTTCTTGTAGCAGCTATATTGTTTAAGACAGTTTAGCGAAGCAAAGCTTCCGAAAAATGGGCAGTATGAAGAACAAGCTTCCGCCTGCTGTCCAATCTCTTATTTCAAAAAGTCTTGCTTTAAATCTATCTGTTGCAGATGTAAGACTACTTCTGATCCCTTGTCAACCCTGCCACTATCAACTCAGACTCATCGTTGTGAAAATGAAATGGAACGTAGCACACTTCTAGCAAATATACAGGAAGAGGAAATCAGTGATATTGAAGCTCAGAATGTAGAAGCTGACATTACACCAGCAGAAGACGAACACGGGGTATTCCAAGACTCGCATGTATAGTTTAAAAGCTTTATTATGTATTTTATTATTATGTTTTATTTATTATTTGTAATTATTAAATGATGCCTATCGTATCATTCAAAAGTTTCAAGAACCCACCTGAAGAAGACACAACAGATCTAATCTAAGGATGAGAACCGGTGTTCACAACTTTCATCAGAAGTGCTTTCTCTATAAAGGAAACAATTCCATACTTTTCACGGATACAAAGATGATATTTTTATCCTTTCACCTTAATCTTATTATCATTAATTCTCTTTTTATACTTTCTTTATCCTTCTCAACTCAACACTATCCAACCCGACTCTTTAAAGACAAAAACCTCCGCAAGCAACTCAAGAATCGCTACATTTGAGTTCTCAAATAACAGGTAATTTTAATTTTCGTTCATTACCACTTGCTTTTAATGATCCTAAGATTCGTTACAAATTGCGCTTTAGGTTACTTACTTTGTTTCGTTTTTCAAAATGATACGTGTTCACGTAGGGTTTTTTAAGTATTCTATAATTCCGGTATTTACTAAATAGCAAAAGGGACAAGCCAGTAGAATGTCAGGAAATAACCTTGTTTTATCTAATTTGTTTCTCACTAGGCGAGGATCAGTGAAATGCAGTGATCAGGAGCAGTTTACTTGGGGTTTAGTTGGTCGCTATGGTAACCCTAGACACTCACGTTTAATTGATCCTGTTGAGACACCTGCTACTAATTTGGTAAAGTGAGATTAAGTGGGTGATCACGTGTATACTATATATCGACTGTTTTAAATAATTTAAAATAAGTTCCTGTACAAGTTATCTAGAAACGTTTTGTTAGCCCTTGTAAATTGGAAACATGCTTTCATAAAGATTTCTATTATTATCATGATTATAAAGACATTTCCTATTGCATAAATATAGCTTAATTATGGTATCTATACAATAACATCTCAGAGATGTGACTGAAAGGCGACTGAAAGACACGTGGATGCCCATATAGGACACTTATCTTCCAAATCACCTCCACAGTATCTCCTGTACTCCTCACTGATACTTCGAGGTTGAAATTATTGGTTATGTTGAATTAATCACATCTACATATTGCTTCAATGTATTAGATTCAGTGAAAAAACAATATGGTAGATACAATAGTGTCACCCCTGGGATATGGGCAATTCACGTGCCATTAGTATACCATGAGAACCTCTATATAGTAACCAATTGTACCATGGTTACTGTTGTTGTTCCAATACGGGAGCACACACCACCATGTTGCCCTTTTCCATTAATGATTTGGAAACGCCTAAGGTGTTTGTAATAGGAGATGGTCCGATCATTTACTCCTTATACACATATCTACCCTTACAGTTACAGGAGCAGACCCGCGTGATATTACGACTCCCTATAAGTGTCTCACGTGATAGTTAGTCAAGACCTTCTTTATATTGTAGTTTGGCGCTAGACTAGTGCACATCCCTCAATGAACAACAGGTAGTTTCAATTTTAGCGGTCTAAACACTAGATCCAACCGCAAGTAAAAACTAATTGTATAGAAAACCTCATAGTACTCCATATTACCTATATCCTCCCCATCTTCTTTTTACTCCATACAGATCAATTGAATTTGATAAGTTTACATATCCTTATCAATTTTTCAATTTACTTTTTAAGCCGTTCTGAGGACAACTTCGTCATAGTAGGCAAAAAAACTACTAGTTGCCGAAAAACCGGTCGCGACATTTGCTTTGTCCCTGAACATTACCTATATAAAAAATACCCTAACTTCCCTTACTTTTCAGAGAACCAGCGGTGTTTGCCCGATGTCAAGAACTTCTTTTTTGTGTTAGAGCTAACTCACTTCCTCATTTAACAAAAGGTGAGGTTACAATTTTTAGCAGATTAACGTTGCCTCACCCACAACTAGAAAAAACTAATGCAACATAAAATCAACTTTCTACTTATTTAAACTTGTAATCAATGTACCTCATCACCATTAATCAAGTTCAATGCCATCAATAATTAATAATTCAAGATCACTTTTCAAATTCATTTTTTAAGCCTTATCAGTTGAAGAACCTTATAACACTCGTTGCAACATCAAAATTTTCTCTGTTCTTAAAGAATGTTTAGTTTGTCCAGATTAGTACTGTAGTTTTTGAACAACAACCTGTTAAACTTTATTTTCCTCAGTTATGAGCGCTGCCAACTTTAACATCCTTCCAAAGAATACACTGCCACCCTTTCCACTCCTCTTCATCATCCCTTCCGTTCCCTCCTAAGAAGATTAACCTCTGTGAAAAAGACAGTTGTTCCTGGTTCCATCATCTTAAGTAAAATATATCTGCATTAGCTGATTGTGCGATATATTCCGTCTGGTTACACGATATTAAAAATTAAATGTGGGGTAAATCAATAATAGTCTGAGAATTGAGTTGTCAGAACAATGAACATTTAGCTATACGTTTTTATTGTAAGTCTAGCTGTGAGTTAACAAATCTTACTAAGTTTTTAAATCCAGCTGCACTGCTGTAGTCAGTAGTTACCGTCCAGTAAAAATTTCAAACTTTTTATTCAATATCACGTCAGATATTGTGTTCCGTCTATCAACTTTTATCAGCTGATTCATCTAGGTTAAAAAAAAAAAAAAAAAAAAAAAAAAACAAAAAATGTAACCGTCGAATTAACTATGCGTCAAATTACCTAATTCCGTTATTAATTGGCCCGCAAGCTATCCTATAGGGTTATATTGGAAACTTCCAGTCACTATTTTGCCTTTAAATTCAACACTATTCGTCAATGTTAGAAAATTTTCTAACTGATAAGTTAGTTAAAAAGTGTTAAACCGATTTCAAAATAGACGCGCTCATAATCAGACTATGATTCATGTGCAATTATAAACAACAAGCGATTCAGTTTATTATTAATTTTATTTGCAAAGCTATTTTAAGTTTTGCGGTTTAGATAATTTTTTAAACCACGCGTGTGTGTTATAAAATTTAAACTACATCAACGTTGTTTTTTAATTGCTTGGAAATCATGCCCATCAGGACTAATAAACATAATAGTTTTCTTTGTATATACAAACTTAAAATTACTAGAGCGAGGAGTAATAACGAAAAATTTAAGTATTTTCCGCGAATTATTTCAAAATAATACTTTAATTGCATTGAGCCCTCAGAATTTATAAAGCCTAAGGCGGTATGCAAATAAATTACTGAATCCCACCCTAATATTCCTACAAATCACTTGGAAATACATTACCAATCGACGGACTAACAAACCCAAAACACAAGATGTCTACATTCTTTCTCTTTAGAAACCAAACACCCCTAATGGTGCCGTTCACTGTAACAAATAACCCGGGGACCGCGCATTCCCCACTCGCACTTAATTTTTGACCCAGCTCTCTATATCACAACACAATACCCTACGCTGTCCTCATATGGTCACACCCCCACCCCCGAACGTGCGCTTACGTTTAAGTGAAGCGTGACCGACCCCTTACAGTGACTCTTTTGAAACTATAACGAATTACACTTACATTAGAATTCACTATTCCTGTGTTACTTTTATAATTATTATCTTTTTTAGAGTTCAATCTCAGACCTAATTGAGTCTATCTGGCTAAAACACTAGTTGACTAGTTTCACTGTAAGTAGACCCTCTCGTCTCTCTCTCTCGTTCTCTCTGGACGAGTTCGGGGTCTCGGTCCCTCCGGGTCTCGGGGTCTCTCGGACTCCCGGGGGGCGTGTCGTCGGTCGTCCGGACTCTGTCGTTTTGCTCTCTGTCGGGTCGGGGGTACGTCGAACGAATCCTTCGTCTCCGGTCGATACTCTCGTCTAGGCTCTCTCTGTCGTATCTCTCCACCCTCCCTCCCGTCCCTCCTCCCGTGCCCTCCCTCCCTCCCTCCCTCCCTCACCTCCCTCCCTCCGTTTTATCTTGTCCTCCCTCTCCTCCCCTCCCTCCCTCCTCCCTCCCTCCTCCCTCCCGCCTCCCGGCTCCTCCCTTCCCCCCTCCTCCCCTCCTTTCCCCCCTCCCTTTCCCTCCGTCCCTCCCTCCCTCCCTTCCCTCCCCCTCCTTTTCCTCCCTTTCCCTCCTCCTTCCCTCCCCCCTTCCCTCCCTCCCCCCCCCTCCCCCCCTCCCTCCCTCCCCCTCTTCTCTCCCCCCTCCCTCCCTCCCTCCCCTCCCTCGCCTCCCTCCTCCTCCTCCTCCTCCCTCCCCCTTCCCTCCTCCTCTTCCCTCCTCCCTCCTTCTGTCCCCTTTTCCCTTCCCTCTCCCCCCTCGCCTCTCCCCACCGCCCCCTCCTCCTCCTTCCCCCCCATCCCTTCCTCTCCTTCCCCCGGTTCCTCCTTCCCTCATTTCTTTCCGTAAGTCCTCCCTGTTCCCTTCCTTCCCTTCTCTCCTCCTCTTCCCTCCCTTTTCCCCCCTCCCTCCTTCCCCCTTCCCTCTTTTCCCCCCCTCCCCCCCTCCCTCCCGTTCCTCTCCCTCCCGCCCTCCCCCTCCCTCCCCTTCCTTCCCCCCCTCCCTCCCTCCCTCCTCCTCCTCCCCCTCCCTCCTCCCTTTCCCCCCCCCTCCCTCCCTCCCTTCCCTCACCTCCTCCCTTCCCTCCCTCCTTCCCCCCCTCCTCCCGCCCTCCTCCCCCCCTCCCCCCCCCCCCCTCCCTCCCTCCTCCCTCCCTCCTCCCTGCCCCCCTTTTCCCCTTTCCTCCCTCCCTCCCTTTCCTCCTCCCTCTCCCTCCTCTCCCTCCCCCCCCCTTTCCTCCCTTCCCTCCCTCCCTCCCTCCCTCCTCCCTCCCTTTTCCCTCCCCTCCCTCCCCCTCCCCCTCTCCTCCCCTCCCCCTCCTCCTCCCTTCCCCCCCCTTCCCTCCCCTCCCCCCCCTTCTCCCTCCCTTTTCCCTCCTCTCCTCCCCTCCCTCCCCCTCCCTCCCCCCCCTCCCGCCTCCCTCCCCCTTTCCCTCCCCTTCCCTTCCCTCTCCCCCCTCCTTCTCCTCCCTCCCTCCCTTCCTCCCCCATCCCTCCCTCCCTTTCCTCAACTCCTCTCTCTCTTCCTTCCCCTCTCTCCTCTCTCTCTTCTCTTCTTTCCCCGGTCCCTCCCCTTCCTCTCCTTTTCTCCCCCTCTTCTCTCCTCTCTCTCCCTTTTCGTCTCTCCTCTCTCTTCCTTTCTTTCTTCTCCCCTCCTCTCTCTCCTCCTTCGGCCCCTCTTCTTCCCCTCCCTCTCTCTCTCTCCCTCTTCCTCTCTCTCTCTCTCTCCTCTCATCTCCTCTCTCCTCTTCCCTCCTTTTCTCTCTCTCCCTCTCATCCTTCTCCCCCTTCCCCTTTCCCCCTTTTTTTCTTTCCCCTTTTTTTTCCTTTTCCCCCCTTTCTCCCCCCTTTCCCCCCCCCTTTTCCCCCCCTTTTTCCCCTCCCTTTTTCCCCCCTTTCCCCCCCCCCTTTTCCGGTGGGCCCCTTTTTTTTTCCCCTTTTTTTTCCCTTTTTCCCCCCCCCCTCCCCTTCTTTTCTCCCCCTTTTTTCCCTCTCTCTTCTTCTCTCTCTCTCTCTCTCTCTCTTCTCTCTCTCTCTCTTTCTCTCTCTCCTTCTCTTCTTTCTCTCTCTCTCTCTCTCTCTCCCCCTTCCCTCTCCCTCTCCCTCTCCCTCTCCCTTCCCTCTCCCTCTCCCCTCTCCCTCTCCCTCTCCTCTTCCCTTCTCCCTCTCGCTCTCTCTCACTCTCTCTCTCTCTCTCTCCTCTCCTCTCTTATCTCTCTCTCTCTCTCTCTCTCTCTCTCCCTCTCCCTCTCCCTCTCCCTCTCCCTATCCCTCTCCCTCTCCTCTCCCTCTCCCTCTCCCTCTCCCTCTCCCTTCCCTCTCCCTCTCCCTCTCCCTCACTGCCTCCTTCCTCACCCCTCCCCTCTACGACTCTATCCTCTACGATCTCTCTCTCTCTCTCTCTCTGCTTACAGCCTCCTCTCTCTGCTCTCTTCTCACTCACCGTCGCCCTCTCTCTGTCACGTCCCGACGCATCTCATCCTACTCTCGAATACTTCTTCTCTCTCTCTTCTCCTCTCTCCTCTCTCTCTCTCTCTCTCTCTCTTCTCTCTCTTCTCTCCTCTCGCTCTCTCTCTCGCTCTCTCTATCTCTCTTCTCTCTCTCTCTCTCTCTTCTCTCTCTCTCTCTCTCTCTCTCTCTCTCTCTCTCTCTCTCTCTCTCTCTCTCTCTCTCCCTCTCCTCTCCCTCTCCTCTCCCTCTCCCTCTCCTCTCTCCGCTCTCTCTCTCTCTCTCTCTCCCTCTCCCTCTCCCTCCCCCGGATACTAGTGTGACTACTAGTACTGAACCTTCTTTTACCAAATCAGATGATAAAATACTCATGTAATGGAGTAAAACATCCCTCCAATCTCGGCAGTCAATTAAACCAAAATTTAACGAATTTATAATTGACCAGAGGTTAACGGGTGATACTCGTAAAATATCTGTTCCATATATTGTCGAGTCCAACTCGGCGCGCGTCCTGGTAGGTTGTAAACCTACAATACTATAGTGAAACGACAGAATCCGCATAAAGTTAAAGTTGCAAACTTATATTTTGTATTTGACCAAAACCCATAATTATGGGTAGAGTGGAGCGCTGTCAGTGTCTCTCTTTCCCAAACAAAAGGCAATGATATCAATTTGAATGACCGTTATCAAATACAAAATGAAACCGAGAATGAAATCGGACGCTCGTTTTCCCACTCATTCATGGCTTACGAATTGTAATAAGTTTCGATTTATAACATGTAATCTATTTCAATTGTAAATGAATGGGGAAAACGAGCGTCCGATTTCATTCTCGGTTTCATTTTGTATTTGATAACGGTCATTCAAATTGATATCATTGCCTTTTGTTTGGGAAAGAGAGACACTGACAGCGCTCCACTCTACCCATAATTATGGGTTTTGGTCAAATATCATCTCTTTTTGATTATAAATATAATGTAAGGGTACTTTACAAAGCCGAAATGTAAACTCATAACTTCATTAATATTATTAAAGAGGTGATTTCAACGATTTCGGAATTTAACCTTTGAAAACATTTCCTTGTGTTTAGGTAGGCATATCTGTTGATAACTGACTGAATATGACACTTTTTACTCAATCAAGTCGGTATTAAATTCATATATATAATGCCATTTAAATGTCGTGGGAAAGAATTTATTCGAAATAAGAAATGAGAAAAATTCTCACCTTTCGCACGTGCAAACTTTGAGCGAACGTTGCGTGCGCATCCAATATAAAATCACCGTAAAATTTTATTATCTTCGTATTTTATATCTAGTTCAATAAGTGTGGAAAGTTTCAGAATATTTCAGGAAGAACTCTCATCACAACGGGACTCCAAAGCTGATAAAAATCGTGAAAATACCAATTTTCAGTGATTTTAGCAATTTTCTATCATTTTGGGCGTGTCCTCACGTGTGCAACTTTTTTATTTTCAACTTTAAAACTAGCCTATGACACAATTTAGACCATTAGAAAGCAAAATTGAGCTTCACAACTCAAGGGATGGCTCAACACCAGAGAATACTAGAACGTAAAATTAGCGTTTTTATAAAATTATTCTTTAAAAAAGCATAAACTTCAATAGCGAATATCTTTATGAAGGAGCAAGCTAGAAAAACTTTCCGGTAGATTTTCAGAATGCTTAAACAATTATCTAACTTCAATAGGTCCTCAAATTTTGAATAAAATTACTCCTTATTGGCGTAAAATCAATTTTAAAAGTGATTACTTTGTCAAAAATAAAGTTTTTTAAATGGTTAACTTGATGACGTCATCAAGTGGTGATGATGATGTTAAATTACTTTTTAATGTAATGTAAACTAAATTCTAAACAATTATCTTCAAGACCTGTGGTCCGAGATGGCTGTATCTTTAAAGCTTCTGAATCTACGGACACCTAAATATAGCCTATAATTGACTGGCAAAGCGTCTATCCCTGAATCACAGTGCTGGCAAGCACGACCGTTGCATTTATTGTGGGTATACTATGTACCCCATTTACTATTATACCCCCTTTACTATTATACCCCCTTTACTATTAAACCCCCTTTACTATTATACCCCCTTTGGTACACGTTACAAGTCTCTTTCGTGCACGCGAAGCGTGCACTCCGGCCGGAGGCGGCGGCCGAAGGCCGCCGCCTCCGGCAGGAGTTTTTCAGGCATTAAGACTCATCGGAAGTCGTTCAGCAGATTTATTTTTAGTTCAAAACATTCTAATTTGATGTCAAAGATGACAGGAATAAAAATAGTTATGTTGAGATTTTCAAGAAATTTGCATAAAATACTCGCCAGCACTGTTATACGAAATTCGGTAAAAAACCCAAAATCGCCATATTCAGGTGCCTTAAAAACCATGTTAAAATTGAGTTACAGATCTGAAATTTTTCAGGGCGTCTAGACGTTGACCAAATCGACTGCAAAAAAAGTTTCAGGTCTCAGGATCATCGGGAAATGGGTTTTCTAGAACCCCTGTTTTACGATAGATTGTCGTGATACATACATACCTATATACATATATTCAGGGATAGACGCTTTGCCAGTCAATTGTAGCCTGTATTTAATTGTCCATAGATTCAAAAGTATAAAAGATACAGCCATTTCCGACCACAGGTCTTGAAAATAATTGTTTACACTTTAGTTTACATTGTATAAAAAAATTATTTGACGTCATGAACACCCCTTGATGACGTCATCAAGTTAACCGTTTTTAAAACTTGATTTTTGACAAAGTAATAACTTTTAAGATTAATTTTAAACCATTAAGGAGTAATTTTATTCAAAATCTGAGGAAATTTTCGTCTTAGATAATTGTTCAAGCATTCTGAAAATCTACCGGAAAGTTTTTCTAGCTTGCTCCTTCATAAAGATATTCGTCATTGAAGTTTGTGCTTTTTTGAAGAATTATTTTATAAAAACGTCAATTTTGCGATTTAGTATTCTCTGGTGTTGGGCCATGCCTTGGGTCGTGGAGCTCAGTTCTGCTTCCTATAGGTATAAATTGTGCATTAGGCTAGTTTTAAAGTTGAAAATAGAAAATTTGCACACGTGGGGACACGCCCAAATTGATAGAAAATTGCTAAAATCACTGAAAATTGCTGTTTTCGTCATTTTCTGTCAACTTTAGAGTGCCGTTGTGATTACAGTTCTTGTTGAAATACTTTGAAACTTTGCATGCTTATCAAACTATATATAAAACAATTACATGCAAAAATTTACGGCGATTCAATATTGGATGCGCACGCAACGTCCGCTCCAAGTTTGCACGTGCGAAAGGTGAGAATTTTGCTCATTCGTGATTTCCAACAAATTCTGCTTTTTAATGTCATTATGTATGAATTTAATGCCAACTTGAATGAGTATAAAGTGGCATATTCAGTCAGTGATCGACCGATATGCTTACCTAAACACAAGGAAATGTTTTAAAAGGAAAAATTTCGAAATCGTTGAAACTTCCTCCTTATTAATATTAATGAAGATATCAGTTTATATTTCGACTTTATAAAGTACCCTGACATTATAATCAAAAAGAGATGATATTTTACCAAAACCCATAATCATGGGTAGAGTGGACCGCTGCCAGTGTCTCTCTTTACCAAACAAAAGGAAATGATATTAATTTGATTGACCGTTCTCAAATGCAAAATGATACCGAGAATGAAATCGGTCCCTCGCTTTTCCCATTCATTTACAATTGTAATAGATTAAGAAGAACTACCCAAAGGCATCTGTGGGGGAAAAGCGAGCGACCGATTTCATTCTCGGTATCATTTTGCATTTGAGAACGGTCAATCAAATTAATATCATTTCCTTTTGTTTGGTAAAGAGAGACACTGGCAGCGGTCCACTCTACCCATGATTATGGGTTTTGGTAAAATATATTAATATATATGTATGTATCCCGACAATCTGTCGTAAAACAGGGGTTCTACTAGAAAACTCATTTCCCGATGCTCCTGAAACTTGAAACTTTTTTTGCAGTCGATTTGGTCAACGTCTAGACGCCTTGCAAAGTTTCAGATCTCTAACTCAATTTTAACGTGGTTTTTAAGGCACCTGAATATGGCGATTTCGGGTTTTTTACCGAATTTCGTATAAGTATAACAGTGCTGGCGCGTATTTTATGCAAATTTCTTAAAAATCTCCACATAACTATTTCTTATTTCTGTCATCTTTGACATCAAATTAGAATGTTTTGAACTAAAAATAAATCTGCAAAACGACTTCCGTTGGAGGACTTCGCCGCTTCGACGCGCCGCGCAAACTAGCATTCTTGCTTCGCATCGAAGCAAGCATCGTCCGTCGACGATCGTTGCTCTGCTTCGCAGAGCAACGATCTCGACGGATTGACATCGTCAATCAACGACTTCCAATGAGTCTTAATGCCTGAAAAACTCCTGCCGGAGGCGGCGGCCTTTGGCCGCCGCCTCCGGCCGGAGTGCACGCTTCGCGTGCACGAAGGAGGCTTCCAACGTGTACCAAAGGGGGTGTAATAGTAAAGGAGTTATAATAGTAAAGGGGGTATAATAGTATACCCCCAATAAAGACAACGCTCGTGCTTGCCAGCACTGTGATTCGGCCCAAAATGTTTTTACGAGGCGAACATTAATTGCAAAAAACCGTAAGTCTCTATCTGTTTTACTTTTGAAAATAGATCCAGCCGGTAGGTTTAACTTGTCATACGTTGTATGACCCGCCGCGCACGAAGTGCGCGGCTCCCCCTGTATCGTCACTATAGTGAAACTTGTCATACGTTGTATGACCCACCGCGCACGAAGTGCGCGGCTCCCCCTGTATCGTCAGGACGTGGGGGTCGCAACGTGATACAAAGTGAAACGACCGTGGGGGTCGCAACGTGATACAAGGTTTAACGGGGGGGGGGGGGGGGGGGGGGGGGGGGGGGGGAGAGAGCATGCTTGGGAATTTTCCTGTTCGACTGAGTCATAACTACAATTGTGAACGCCGAACGCCGCAAGTTTTGGCCTCGCCGCCGCCGATTATGACAAAACGCGGCGGTGTGCATCACTGCTCTGATCTTTAACCAATTAGGGTTCACTTCACACGCCGGAGCCGGAGGTATCATAGTCTATTCTCCGTCACAAACACTTAAACACAAGGTCCTTGGCCAGGTAAGATTATTGGAAATGGAATCGCGCAGCTAGTACGCCTACACTGAATCAAGGGCAGTAAAGCTTTATGTTTCGTGAAAAATCATACTCATAGTCAAGAGTGAAATGCGCGGCGCCGAATCTTAGTCCCAACAATTCACAGTTATTGTTATGGAATTTGACCAAAACCATAATCATATGTCTCTCTTAGAGAGAGAGAGAGAGAGAGAGAGAAAGAGAGAGAGAGAGAGAGAGAGAGAGAGAGAGAGAGAGAGAGAGAGAGAGAGAGAGAGAGAGAGAGAGAGAGAGAGAGAGAGAGAGAGAGAGAGAGAGAGAGAGAGAGAGAGAGAGAGAGGGGGAGAGATCTCTTTATATTACTTTATTAGGAATAATGACTCCCACGTGACACAAGGATGATTCCCACGTGCTACATTTCTTCCCATTCACAGTGACGCAATACCAAAACGTGTCACAGATATTTGCCCACGTGCCACATTAAATTTATATATTCTCGTTCCTATAATGCACATGACTTGTCGTGGGTCGGTGACCCTCTCTTTGTCACTCCGTTATTTTCTGTTTTTTCTTTTCCGTTATATAGTCCGATCTATAACGTCACTAGTTACATTAAGACAAAAATTATAGCTGTACCATGTTTTCATTGTATTTTTTACGATTTAATGAGTTGAGCACACGTTCCGTATGTTAGCTGCAGTTCAGGGCTCGATCAGTTAAACTTAATTATCTGCGCCGGATAGGTATCTCATATCTAATTTTTGGAAAGTGGTCCGGTTTCCAAAAATGTGGTCGGATATTTAAGTAATAATCATTATATATTACAATTACCAATTAACATTAACATAAATGAAATATTGTCTCTGTCTTGTCTCCGAAATTATAGCGCTAGAAACCAGGCAGCAGCTAAGCCTAAACTAGAGCGGTATTTGGAAACCTGTTTATCTGTTAGTTATTTCTAGTGACGATTGGGTTAATCAGTTGTCGTTTCAAAGTAAATTAGGTAGACTATGATTGGGTTTAAAATTATTTTCCCGAGCTACCATGTCTAGGAAAAGTCCAAGTTGGGTTCATTCATCCGGTATTATAGGACAAATTATCCCTCAACTTGACTCACGAGCTAACCGTGACCAGGGTTCCTCCATCACACTCTCAATTCTTGGTTGACGATGTCAACCCATCGAGATGGTTGCTCTGCGAAGCAGAGCAACGATCGGCGAAGCAAGAATGCTAGTTCGCGCGGCGCGTCGAAGCGGCGAAGTCCTCCAATCTCAATTCATGATCCTCGTAACCACTGAACTTCATTCAGTAACCCGATGTTAATCAAGGTTTATCCTGGACTCATTTTGTCACGTGATACCGAAGCTGCGCTGTGGTTGAAACACGTGTCTGTATACTGTGATACTGAGTACCAAGGCCTAGTGACCGAGACATAATATAATTCCTTTCGACTCTTGTTTTGCTCCCTATCTACCAGAATCCCAGCCAATTGATAAAACTTTAGTAATCATTAATATAATAATATGATATCTTAAAGTCGCTATGAGTTTTATGTTTCATTTAATCAAAACTTACCATTCAGGGAGGAAAATGTTATGAAAACTTATACAGCGAAAACAGTGGACAAATTTGCCAGCTGACTATTTTTTACATATTGTGAGTAGTAGAAATGTATACCTTTTTAATTAAACATTCCTCATGTGCAATAAAACACATGCATTATTTGTCTACTATTTCATATTTCCAAAAAGATATTTCTCGCTCAGTATCCTTTTAAAATAATAATCTTACTATATATAATTATAAAGCGAGACGATATATATGGATGGATCCGTACCATTTTACTGACACCAGAGCATCAACTTTAACGCGACTTTCCGCAAAAACCGTAAAAGATAGGATTTTAGAGCCCAAAATTTGGACCCCCAAGTGGTGTTAAAAACGCGAATTAAATAGGTAATAATTATTTTAGTCTATTGAGTCTTGACACCATTTTATGGTTAAACGGGTTCCTTCTAGTAACACTAAAGGGTGGAGCGAAACAAGGGTAGTTACTAGGGTAGTTACTAGGGTAGTTACTAGGGTAGTTACTAGGGTAGTCACTAGAGTGGTTACTAGAGTAGTTACTAGGGTAGTTACTGGGGTAGTTACTAGGGTGGTTACTAGGGTAGTTACTAGGGTAGTTACTAGGGTAGTTACTAGGGTGGTTACTAGGGTAGTTACTAGGGTAGTTACTGGGGTAGTTACTAGGGTGGTTACTGGGGTAGTTACTAGGGTGGTTACTAGGGTAGTTACTGGGGTAGTTACTATGGTAGTTACTAGGGTGGTTACTAGGGTAGTTACTGGGGTAGTTACTAGGGTAGTTACTGGGGTAGTTACTAGGGTGGTTACTAGGGTAGTTACTAGGGTAGTTACTAGGGTGGTTACTAGGGTAGTTACTAGGGTAGTTACTAGGGTGGTTACTAGGGTGGTTACTAGGGTAGTTACTAGGGTAGTTACTAGGATGGTTACTAGGGTGGTTACTAGGGTAGTTACTAGGGTGGTTACTAGGGTAGTTACTGGGGCAGTTACTAGGGTAGTTACTAGAGTGGTTGCTAGGGCTGTTACTACTTTACTAGGGTATCCAACAGCCTCAGCAGCAATAACACTAAAGTTTTCTCCTTCCTAAAAGCTTATTGTGGCGTATCTATCAGTGCTTGTCGTGTCAGAGTATTTGGAGGCCCTGAAATCTGTAAATACGTACATAATTTATATAATTACATGTGTTTTAGGCTCCCGTTTGCAAAAACATGGATCTTGTCGATCTCCCCTTACTCTCTCTCCCACACTCCCTTTCTTTACACACATGCTGACCACACCCTCTTTTAGTGTAGTACTGACTAGAGACTCTAGAAGTAGAGCAGCGCCCTACGAATTAATATGGTTACCCAATTACAATATGCGGGCAGAAATTAGCGCTAAAAATTCATCTTACAGTTACAGTCGGTTTACTGTTAATGGCGCACTACCATTGCCTACCTAGACTAAAACTTCTAGAAGGTAGACATTTTAAACTTTTCACTTAAACAACAAAGTTAAGTCATACGAAGTGCCGTTAAGTTTACATCCATGGTAATTCGTGAACGGTTGCTAATATCGGGGAAAATTTTGTAGTTTATAACCTACCGTACCAAAACGCGTGCCGAGTTGGACTCGTTGACGGAAGATGATTAATCACTCTACACTCGACTGTCACGTGACTTCTTCAACCCGTTCTCTAGCTGGCCCTGAACGACTATTCAAAACCCTGACCCTCTAATCTGATCCCAACGTGATCGAGACAGTTTTTCGCCAATATCTCGCCAGAGAGCATTTTGACCCTATGTCATGGGGGTGATTCGGAATCAGCGTCCGAAAATACATCGATTCAAGTTGAATTCAACTGTCGGGGGCCCTTTTAGAACAATCTCGAAGATCGACTGTAGAGTGATTTAGCACGCTCGCTCGTTGACGGTCTAAATCTAATATTTGGAACAAATATTTTATTTTTACGAGTATATCTCACCCGTTAAGAAAAACTGCCAGTCACTTTTGGAAATAAATGTTGCTTTTTAAAGAATTATAAAAGACACTATTTGAGGCAACGAAAAATTCGCAACTTGCTTTAAAAGTACGTAACGTGCGTACTAACCAACTATGGCCGTTCGTATATCAAGGACCGCGAATATATATCTATATTAATTTGAATAACTGTCCGCAAATGCAATATGATACTGATAATGAATCCGGTCGCTCGCTTTTTCCATTCATTTACAATTGTAATAGAAAACCCACTTCCCAATACACGACTTCCGATGAGATAGATATAATAGTATAAAATATATAACTATAAGAGCCACGGTCATGCTTGCCAGTGCATGACTGTGATAACCATAAACCATGACATGATTTTATTATTATAATTATAGTCGCTATGACTTATGAGTTTTATGTTTCATCTAATCTCAACCAACAATTCAGGGTGGAAATCCTATGAAAACAGCTGCAGTGAAATACAGTCGAAAAATTTGCCAGCTCAGTACGGTTTTAACAAATTGTGAGTAGTAGAAGATTTATAATGTTTTAATTATACATTCCTCATGTGCAATAAAACACATTTTGTGCATTATTTGTCTACTATTTCCAAAAATATATTTCGCTGTGTCCTTTTGAAATGGTAATTTAAGTGCGGTCCAAACTCTAGAACCCGAGACTCTAGGGAAGCGACCTACAAACCAGGGCTCTAGGGCGTGGAGACTTGAATTGATAATTACATAGATACACATTAGTAACACAAGTATCAAGAGTAATTAGAATTTTAGAATTGTAGTCACATTTCTTAGTAGAAAGCCTGGTAACACAGTCAAATAGCTTTAAGTTTAAACAAACCGTGTTAATTAAAATCATTAATGGGACACATTGCACTGCACCTTGAAAAGCAACACTGTACTGCAAAACACAGCTAGTGTGAAATAGAAGGCGGCAACCAGACTAGTCCTCCCGGGGCGTGCCAATGATAAACTTTGCCTGCTCACAAGTACTAGGTACACACTACGCACTAATTTAGTCGTTCAGCGACTAAAGACTATAAAGTATAATTACTCACGATAATTAAGTATCGTACACTAGTCTAACACGATAGATACGACATCTTAGTATCGTATGCGTAAATAGAAAGGGTACAATATCAAGTACCTATTGTATAATAATGACAGTTAAGTAGCTGTGTATTATGGAGTATATTAAAGTATTAAGAAGTGTTTGAGCTTTCAATTCGATCTTACACGCAATTTAGTGCTGTTATACTTTCAATACGATCCAATGACTAGAATTCGATTACTAAACTACAGGGTGGCCCAAAAGTAACTGCCCACACGCAACCCTTTATTTACTCACGTAATTCTTCTTAGAATTGTACAGAAATTTCAGAGATTATAGATATGGGTCAAACTTAGATATCCTAAAAGTCCCGTCAAATTTAATTAATTACAGTGGGTGTGGCACGCCACTCCCTTTTTTCACTATTGTCGCCATAAAGTGGGAACGTTTCCAGCTAGGAACTTCAAAATTTCTAGACACATTTGGCTTGATAATTGAAGTGCTTTCCCGAAATTTCAAGTTAGTTGTTCACAATTTAACCGAGTTGTGACTCTTTTAAGAACTTGTAGATACGTGATCCAGCACTTAATCAGTGTTATCTTCACTCAATCAATGATCTGATTGGTTGTAAACTGCTTATAGGACAGCAACCGAAGTAAAGCGCTATGAGTATAACGCAAATTTCTTCAGTTTTAAGGAACGTCAATATCAGTATTCACTCAAATTGATCAGATCGTCATCCATCAACAGGCTGAAAAAACACAACACTGAACTGTAAAACACAACACTGAACTGTAAAACATAGCACTGAACTGTAAAACACAACACTGCACTGTAAAACACAACACTGAACTGTAAAACACAACAATGAACTGTAAAACACAACACTGAACTGTAAAACACAACACTGAACTGTAAAACATAGCACTGAACTGTAAAACACAACACTGCACTGTAAAACACAACACTGAACTGTACAACACAACACTGAACTGTAAAACACAACACTGAACTGTAAAACACAACACTGCACTGTAAAACACAACACTGAACTGTAAAACACAACACTGCACTGTAAAACACAACACTGAACTGTAAAACACAACACTGCACTGTAAATCACAACACTGAACTGTAAAACACAACAATGAACTGTAAAACACAACACTGAACTGTAAAACACAACACTGAACTGTAAAACATAGCACTGAACTGTAAAACACAACACTGCACTGTAAAACACAACACTGAACTGTACAACACAACACTGAACTGTAAAACACAACACTGAACTGTAAAACACAACACTGCACTGTAAAACACAACACTGAACTGTAAAACACAACAATGAACTGTAAAACACAATACTGAACTGTAAAACACAACACTGAACTGTAAAACACAACACTGAACTGTAAAACACAACACTGAACTGTAAAACACAACACTGAACTGTAAAACACAACACTGAACTGTAAAACACAACACTGAACTGTAAAACACAACACTGAACTGTAAAACACAACACTGAACTGTAAAACATAGCACTGAACTGTAAAACACAACACTGCACTGTAAAACACAACACTGAACTGTACAACACAACACTGAACTGTAAAACACAACACTGAACTGTAAAACACAACACTGCACTGTAAAACACAACACTGAACTGTAAAACACAACACTGCACTGTAAATCACAACACTGAACTGTAAAACACAACAATGAACTGTAAAACACAATACTGAACTGTAAAACACAACACTGAACTGTAAAACACAACACTGAACTGTAAAACACAACACTGAACTGTAAAACACAACACTGAACTGTAAAACACAACACTGAACTGTAAAACACAACACTGAACTGTAAAACACAATGCTGAACTGTAAAACACAACGCTGAACTGTAAAACACAACACTGAACTGTAAAACACAACAATGAACTGTAAAACACAACACTGAACTGTAAAACACAACAATGAACTGTAAAACACAATACTAAACTGTAAAACACAACACTGAACTGTAAAACACAACACTGAACTGTAAAACACAACACTGAACTGTGAAACATAGCACTTAACTGTGAAACATAGCACTTAACTGTGAACAGCACTGAACTGTAAAACACAGCAATGAACTGTAAAACACAACACTGAACTGTAAAACACAGCATTGAACTGTAAAACACAGCATTGAACTGTAAAACACAACACTGAACTGTGAAACACAACACTGAACTGTAAAACACAGCATTGAACTGTAAAACACAACACTGAACTGTAAAACACAACACTGAACTGTAAAACACAACACTGAACTGTAAAACACAACACTGAACTGTAAAACACAACACTGAACTGTAAAACACAACACTGAACTGTAAAACACAATACTGAACTGTAAAACACAATCTAGGTAAACTATAGGTAAAAATATAATATTAATCATAAGCTAAAATGTACTAATCTTTGTATTCTAAATGGGGAAAAAGAAGAAACATTGTCAGTCAGTCGAGAAAATTGTCAGTCAGGCTATATGGCAGCTTTGTAACTGTAAAACACAACACTGAACTGTAAATCATAACACTGAACTGTAAAACACAACACTGAACTGTGAAACACAACACTGAACTGTGAAACACAACACTAAACTGTAAAACACAGCACTGAACTGTAAATCACAACACTGAACTGTAAAACACAACACTGAACTGTAAAACACAGCATTGAACTGTATAACACAACACTGATGACTGAACTGTAAAACACAGCACTGAACTGTAAATCACAACACTGAACTGTAAATCACAACACTGAACTGTAAATCATAACACTGAACTGTAAAACACAACACTGAACTGTAAAACACAACACTGAACTGTAAAACACAACACTGAACTGTAAAACACAACACTGAGCTGTAAATCACAACACTGAACTGTAAAACACAACACTAAACTGTAAAACACAACACTGAACTGTAAAACACAACACTGAACTGTAAAACACAACACTAAACTGTAAAACACAACACTGAACTGTAAAACACAACACTGAACTGTAAAACACAACACTGAACTGTAAATCACAACACTGAACTGTAAAACACAACACTGAACTGTAAAACACAACACTGAACTGTAAAACACAACACTGAACTGTAAATCACAACACTGAACTGTAAAACACAACACTGAACTGTAAAACACAACACTGAACTGTAAAACACAACACTGAACTGTAAAACACAACACTGAACTGTAAAACACAACACTAAACTGTAAAACACAACAATGAACTGTAAAACACAACACTGAACTGTAAAACAGAACACTGAACTGTAAAACACAACACTGAACTGTAAATCACAACACTGAACTGTATAGATGATTTTTTTTAGATTTGAAAAATTTTCAAAACGGTATATACAAATCAACAGGATTATAAAACATAAAAATAAAAACCGCTTTGTCGGCAAATGCCAGGATATATATAACACAACACTGAACTGTAAAATACAACACTGAACTGTAAAACACAGCACTGAACTGTAAATCACAGCACTTAACTGTAAATCACAACACTGAACTGTAAAACACAACACTGAACTGTACAACACAACACTGAACTGTTTAACAGAACACAGAACTGTAAAACACAACACTGAACTGTAAAACACAACACAGAACTGTAAAACACAACACTGAACTGTATAACACAACAATGCACTGTGAAACACAACACTGAACTGTAAAACACAACACTGAACTGTAAAACACAACACTGAACTGTAAAACACAACACTGAACTGTATAACTCATCACTGAACTGTAAAACACAACGCTGAACTGTAAAACACAACACAGAACTGTAAAACACAACACTGAACTGTATAACACAACACTGAACTGTAAAACACAACACTGAACTGTAAAACACTACACTGAACTGTAAAACACAACACTTAACTGTAAAACATAGCACTGAACTGTACAACACAGTTACTGACTACTAACATTTCTCTAGGTAACTACCAGTAAAGATGTCTGACCAGAGCACTGAACTGTACGTAGCAGCTGAGAAGGGTAACACAGAGGTTGTAAAAGAGCTGTTAACACACAGTGATATTGCTGTTAACAAGGTGGGTAAGTATGGTACACCACTGTACAGAGCAGCTGGTGAGGGTCGCACAGATGTTGTAAAAGAGCTGTTAACACACAATAATATTGATGTTAACACGGGGAGTAAGGGGAGTTCACCACTGTACAGAGCAGCTAGAAGGGGCACACAGACGTTGTAAAAGAGCTGTTAACACACAGTAATATTGCTGTTAACAAGGTGGGTAAGTATGGTACACCACTGTACATAGCAGCTATAGAGGGTCACACAGACGTTGTAAAAGAGCTGTTAACACACAGTGATATTGATGTTAACAAGGGGAGTAAGTTGGGTACACCACTGTCCATAGCAGCTTATAGGGGTCACACAGATGTTGTAAGAGAGCTGTTAACACACAGTAATATTGCTGTTAACGAGGAGGGTTTGTTAGGTACACCACTGTACAGAGCAGCTGAGAAGGGTCGCACAGACGTTGTAAAACAGCTGTTAGCACACCGTGATATTGATGTTAATAAGGGGGGTGTGTTAGGTACACCACTGTACAGAGCAGCTCAGTGGGGTCACACAGAGGTTGTAAAAGAGCTGTTAACACACAGTGATATTGATGTTAATAAGGAGGATAAGTTAGATACACCACTGTACATAGCAGCTAAGCAGGGTAACACAGAGATTGTAAAACAGCTGTTAACACACCGTGATATTGATGTTAATAAGGGGGGTGAGTTAGGTCCACCACTGTCCATAGCAGCTCTGCAGGGTCACACAGATGTTGTAAAAGAGCTGTTAACACACCGTGATATTGATGTTAATAAGGGGGGTAAGTCAGGTACACCACTGTCCATAGCAGCTACACGGGGTCACACAGATGTTGTAAAAGAGCTGTTAACACACAGTGATATTGATGTTAATAAGGAAGATGCGTCAGGTACACCACTGTACGTAGCAGCTAAGTGGGGTCACACAGAGGTTGTAAAAGAGCTGTTAACACACAGTAATATTGATGTTAATAAGGGGGATGAGTCAGTTACACCACTGTACAGAGCAGCTGAGAATGGTCACACAGATGTTGTAAAAGAGCTGTTAACACACCCTGATATTGATGTTAATAAGGGGGATGAGTTAGGTACACCACTGTACAGAGCAGCTGATCAGGGTCACACAGAGGTTGTAAAAGAGCTGTTAACACACAATAAAATTGATGTTAACCAGGAGGGTAAGTGGGGTACACCACTGTGTATAGCAGCTGAGAAGGGTAACGCAGATGTTGTAAAAGAGCTGTTAACACACAGTAATATTGATGTTAAATTGGAGAATAAGGAAGGTGACACTCTCCTCCTGAAAGCTGCTAGGATGGGTTATTTGGACATTGTGAAACAAATGTGCCAAGTTAATGGCGTGGATAAGAACCACGTTAATAATTTAGGTTATACCCCCTTTCTCGCTGCTGCTGAGGAAGGTCATGCTGATATAGTTAAATACCTTCACCAATTAGGCTGTGTCAATATGGAGCAAGTGGATAACAGCCAGGCAATATATGTGTTCTGTAAAAGTTCCGTCTTCAAAACACTTGTTGACATCTTCGTAGATCCAGACGTTCATGACACCCAGTTATCAAGTTTATTGAATGTATTGTACGTAAGTTTGCAGGCTAACATCAAATGTGACTGTGGTGAGGTCAAGTCTCCAGACAGTCCAAAGAAATCCAAAGAAGCAAAGAAGTCTAAAGAAGCCATCGAAAAAGACGCTTTTAAAAAGTTTCTTCGAGAAACATTGGGAGAGGCTGTTTTCGAAAGATTTTCCGCCCAAATAAATAGAATTTCTGATGAAGGATATGAAGGAGACATTGACGCAAAACTTGTAGCAAAAAGTATCGCTAAAACCTATTTGACGGAGAACGATCAAGAATCGATCAATGTTAAAGAGGATCAAGGATGCTGCGCTCCCATAGAAAATGTTAAAGAGGACATTGAAAAGTGTCTGTTTTCTGCATGCATTAGGAGGTTTTCGCACAAGTGTAGTGTTCGGGGAAGCTTTGACTATTTTACTTGCTTATTTGCAATATTAATTCATATTTCCGACATTGCTTCTGATGCTTATGTAGGCTTCAAAACGCTAAAAGGTTTTTCTTCAAGATTAGGGATACTAATGCTAGTCATTGTTTTTGTGACTTTGTTCCACGAGAATATCCGCTCTTCAATTTCAACATTTGCTACTGGAATAGAGCAACTCCGGACAAATCTTGGAAAAGTCACATTTACACCAGAAGATTGGAAAGGTTCTGAACTAAACTATGGGCATGAATTGTGGGTGCCATTTAAATATCTAGGACGATTCTTTTGGCCGTTCAAAGTAAAAGGACATACATCAATATCAACATCTGTTAAAGCCGTATTTTTCAACGTACTCTCGATATTTTGGCTCCGTCCAGTTGTTGATCGTCTGCAATTTCTCACGCACTCACCTTCTAAATTACGAGTCATCTATAGACAGCAGGCCAAAGACAAATCTCTTGCCCAATACTATATGATAATGGAACAGATTCCTGAGCTTCTCATCCAGTTTTACATTTTTCAAATCTACTTCAACATTTTGAGGGAAGATGGGGATTTAAGAAGTTCTGGATGTACGGACTATCATAGTTTCGATTACGATTCTGGGGATTTTGAGTGTGTCGAAAACCTACTGAGATTAAAGATATGCGCGTCATGGGTGGAAGTATATTCAATGATAGTGCCGTTTGTGAAGATTCCCAACAGCGTGATCGGTTTGGAAGTGATACTTCGGAAACTCCATCCAGCAACACCAAAGATGTCTACTGTTGCTCTCGTGCTATTGTATATAGCTTATGTTCTGATGATTCCTTCTAGACTCTTCCTAATTGCAGCAGTTATGCACTCAGTCCCCAATCACTTCTATGTTGCTGGATATCTTGGATTATCAACTTTAGTTTGGTTTGTTGTTAATAAGATCACGATAAGTATAGCCAGCAAGAAAATACCAAGTTCAAAGGATAAAGAAGAAGAACTTACGATACTACGACGTATTGGTGATATGTGGTCTCTCCTGCTATTCAGTTTTAGAGATGTTATTGTCATTTCGCTACGTCGACCGAATGCATATCTTATTTCCCCCTCAGAAGTAGGCTACAAAACTTTACGGACCTGGAAAGAGATGATGCTCATATCAACCTACATGTTTGTCGAGGGAGTTATAGGCGCAGTTTATGTTGAGAATAACTACCCCTGCGGTAGGAATACTGATATCTTCAAATACCAGGGATGGCTCTACCTAACACTACTAATTATTTCAACTACCCTCATAACTTTGCTTTCTTACATTCTCCAGGTCAATAAAACGAACTTTAAAAACTTCCGAATGAAGTCAGCCTTTATCTGCGGATATGGGTTAATAATGTGGTTAATAGTATCTTTGACGTTGTTTATCTCGAGAACAAGACATGGCCTGATTGAGCTAATATTGGTGATCATCGTATTAGTGATCCTGATGATTATCTTTCTTGTAGCAGCTATATTGTTAAGAAAGTTTAGTGAAGCAAAACTACCGAAAAAAGGGAAGGATGAAGAACAAGAAAAACAAGCTTCCGCCTGCTGTCCAATCTCTTATTTCAAAAAGTCTTGCTCTAAATCTATCTGTTGCAGATGTAAGACTACTTCAGATGAACTTTCTTTGTCAACCCTGCCACTATCAACTCAGACTCATCGTTGTGAAACTGAAACGGAACGCAGCACACTTTTAGCAAACATACAGGAAGAGGAAATCAGTGATATTGAAGCTCAGAATGTAGAAGCTGACATTACACCAGCAGAAGACGAACACGGGGTATTCCAAGACTCGCATGTATAGTTTAAAAGCTTTATTATATTTTTTATTATTATGTTTTATTTATTATTTGTAAGTTTTAAATGATGCCTATCGTATCATTCAAATGTTTCAAGAACCCACCTTGAAGAAGACACAACACATATTGATAGATCTAATATAAGGATGAGAACCGGAGTTCACAACTTTCATCAGAAGTGCTTCCTCTATAAGGGAAACAATTTCATACTTTTCACGGATACAAAGATGATATTTTTATCCTTTCACCTTAATCTTATTATCATTAGTTCTCTTTTACTTTCTTTATCCTTCTCAACTCAACACTATCCAACCCGACTCTTTAAAGACAAAAACCTCCGCAAGCAACTCAAGAATCGCTACATTTGAGTTCTCAAATAACAGGTAATTTTCATTTTCGTTCATTACCATTTGCTTTTAATGATCCTAAGATTTGTTACAAATTGCACTTTAGGTTACTTACTTTGTTTCGTTCTTCAAAATGATACGTGTTCACGTAGGTTTTTTAAGTATTCTATAATTCCGGTATTTACTAAATAGCAAAAGGGACAAGCCCGTAGAAAGTCAGGAAATAACCTTGTTTTATTTGTTTCTCACTAGGCGAGGATCAGTGAAAAGCAGTGATCAGGAGCAGTTTACTTGTGGTTTAGTTGGTCGCTATGGTAACCCTAGACACTCACGTTTAACTGATCCTGTTGAGACACCTGCACTAATTTGGTAAATTGAGATTAAAGTGGGTGGATCACGTATATATGAACTGTTTTAAATAATTTTAAAATAAGTTTCCAGTACAAGTTATCTAGAAACGTTTTGTTATCCCTTGTAAATTGGAAACATGTCTTTCATAAAGATTTCTATTATTACCATGATTATAAAACATTTCCTATTGTATAAATATAGCTTAATTATGTATATAATTCTATACAATTACATCTCAGGAGATAGTAATGTGACTGAAAGGCGACTGAAAGACACGTGATGCCCATATAAGGACACTTATCTTCCAAATCACGCCCACAGTACCTCCTGTACTCCTTCACTGATACTGCAGGTTGAAATTATGGTTATGTTGAATTAATCACATCTACGTATTGCTTTCAATGATATTATATTCAGTGAAAAATCAATTTGGTACTCGGGATACAATATATCCCTTATATGGGCATCACGTGCCATTAGTATACCATGAGATCGCTATATAGGTAACCATGGTTACCATGGTTACTGTTGTTGTTCCAATACGAGCACCACCACCATGTTGAACTTTTCAATTACCTTACTCGGGATTATTACGACGGGTTTATTAACGACCGGTTAAAATATGGTTCGGGAAAAATATGGCGAAATTGCTCAAAACCCACCACATTTTCCCGGTCGCCATTTTACCGGTGTCCAACCTTTCAATTTTAGATTCAAAAATTTTGTCTCAGATGTAAATTTCCTTATTAGAGATAAGCAAGTTTAGAAATTTTCGCATTGCTAAAACTTGTGAAACAAGTCGAATTATCAATAATTGTTGAAAGTAGACAGAAATAATGACTCGTGGTTAATCAAACTACATGGAAAATAATTTTTAACATTTGAAGCGTAACACCCAGATCGATATTAAGATAAAGGGAGAGCTGTTTAGTCTTCCAATAAGTTGTAATCATCTTCGTTATCTTCATCTGGATCATCCCTTTCATCAGTTTCAATTAATTCAAGTTTTAATTTAACTGTTACTTTTACTTTGAGTCCTATTTCATTATGTAGAGATAGTCAATACCTAAGAAATTAAAAATTGGCCTATTTAAATCAAATTTGACAATAAGGATATATGACAAGAATTGGGCAAAAAGGTGAATTTTTTGCAATTTTAGCCAAATGAAGTCGAAAAACCTACAACAAGTGTCCCAATAGTCTTCTTTAGTGAATATAAGACAACGATTAAAATATGAGCACCCATACCCCTTGGGAACCCTAAAAGCTGAGTAGGCGGGTTTATTAACGACCGGTGAAAATGTGGTTCGGGAAAAATATGGCGAAATTACCCTAAACCCACCACTTTATCCCGGTCATAATAATCCCGAGTAAGGTAATGTTTGATAAAGCCTAAGGTGTTTGTAATAGGAGATGGTCGATAATTTACCCGTATAATATATTATACCCTTACTGTTTCAGAGAAGAAAGCGGTGTTTATATCCCTTATATGGGTATCACGTGTTTGTGAGTCAAGAACTTCTTTTTGTGTTAGAGCTAACTTCACTTCCTCATTGAACAAAAGGTGAGTTTCAATTTTAGCGGATTATACTTGATACAACCACACAGAAACGCTAATGCTATAAAATCATCTTTCTAATTATTTAAACTTTAATAAAATTCTTCTTTTTAATCAATTAAATGCAATCAATGAATGTAATTATAAGTTCAATCCTTTTCAATTTCATTTTTAGCCTTTCTGGTGAAAACTTTACATCGTGGCAAAATAATAATTTTCTGTCTGAAAATGTTGAGTTTGTCCAGATTAGTACTGTAGTTTTTGAACAACAAACCTGTTAAACTTTATTTTCCTCAGGTTATGAGCGCTGCCAACTTTAACATCCTTCCAAAGAATACACTGCCACCCTTTCCACTCCTCTTCATCATCCCTTCCGTTCCCTCCTAAGAAGATTAACCTCTGTGAAAAAGACAGTTGTTCCTGGTTCCATCATCTTAAGTAAAATATATCTACATTCGCTGATTGTGCGATATATTCTGTCTGGTTACACGATATTAAAAATGTGGGGTAAATCAATAATTATGTCTAAGAATTGAGTTGTCAGAAAAATGAACATTTAGCTATAGGTTTTTATTGTAAGTATAGTTGTGAGTTAACAAATCTTACTAAGTTTTTAAATCCAGCTGCACTGCTGTAGTCAGTAGTTACCGTCCAGTAAAAATGTAAACTTTTTATTAATATCACTCAGATATTGTTCCGTATATCTACGTTTTCAGCTGTTTTAGCTAGGTTATGTAACCTCAATTAACTTTCGTCAAATTACCTAATTAAATTATTATTGCCCAACTATCCTATAGGGTTTTATTGGAAACTTCCAGTACTATTTTGCCTTAAAATAACACTTTTAGTCTATGTGAGAAATTTTCTAACTGATATGTTAGTAAAAGTGTTAAACTGTTTTAAATTTGACCGATCATAATCAGACTATTATATATCAGGGCATTTTAAAAACAGCGATTCAGTTGTTTATTATTAATTTTATTTGCAAAGCTACTTTAATTTTGCGGTTTTGATAATGTGTTAAATCCACAGGGTTGTTATAAATTTAACTACTTCAACGTTGTTTTTTATGGCTTGGTATAATGACCTTCAGAACTAATATACATAATAGTTTTCTTTGTAATACAAACTTAAATTACTAGAGCGAGGATAATAACGAAAATTAAGTATTTTCCGAGAATTTTTCAAAATAATACTTTAATTGCTTTGAGCCATCAGAATGTTTAAAGACTAAGCGGTATACAAATATTATGAATAAAAATATAATATTAATACAAATTACTTGGAATACTTTTCCAATAGAGAATAACAAACCCAAAACGCCCTCGGCTGATTACGTAAATTATGTGAAGTGTGAACGACCCCTTACTTCTCTTTGAAACTATAACAGTATTACTATTAGTATTCACTATTACTAGTTAATTTTATATTATTATCTTTTTAGAGTTCAATCCAAACAGAATTGAGTCTATCTGGCGAAAAGCAATAGTTGACTGTAACAAACCCACGATCAGGAGGCGGATAATAACTCTTTGATCTCTCTCTCTCTCTCTCTCTCTCTCTCTCTCTCTCTCTCTCTCTCTCTCTCTCTCTCTCTCTCTCTCTCTCTCCTCTCTCTCTCTCTCTCTCTCTCTCTCTCTCTCTCTCTCTCTCTCTCTCTCTCTCTCTCTCTCTCTCTCTCTCTCTCTCTCTCTCTCTCTCTCTCTCTCTCTCTCTCTCTCTTATTAGTATCGGGTATTATCTGTAGCTCTAAAATTGACTCGTGTCAAAATCGCCAGTTTCGGGGTCTGCGAGACTCATTGTGCCTGGTTCGCCTCCCACTGAAGGTGAAGCTGACCCTTCAGGAAGATATATTTGCACTGAAGCATCTCCTAATTCGTAGGCGAGGGTTCAGAAGCAGAGATGGACAGCAATTTACCCTTTGATTCAACACTTTAGGATCTCGGTCTTTTCCGTTTGCAATTAGTGCTGCTCGTGAGAGGGAAGTTTCAAGCTTGGAGAGGAGTGACCCCTGGGGCCAATTTGCCGTTAATTTTGACTTCTCTGCTTGGTAATCCTGACCATGAGTGGATGTCTGCTGATGAATCTATCAGTGACACGCTTCTGGTTGGTAATAAAGTTGATGACCATTCTGAACTCTGCTCTTACAAAACAAACCAAATTTATTGACAACAAGCCTGAAGGAACAGTTGACGAAGTATTTTCGGGACCAGAAAACGTAAAATCGGTTATCAGAAAACCTCATGAAACACAAGTTGGTCGATCAAAACTTCCCAACTCTCAGTCTAAATCTGAGTCACTGAGAAGACTCCCAGCACACCTCAGCTTGATGATATGAGAAATAGGAATTCTTCAAAGTTTTATAGCTGAGAAGCAGTTCCAAAATCTTGAAAGGCAATCCCCACTTCCGACTCTGAACACAGTGATTCTCTTGCTAGACCGGATACTAGTGTGACTACTAGTACTGAACCTTCGTTTACCAAATCAGATGATAAAATAGTCATGAGTAAACATACCTCCAATCCTCGGCAGTCATCCAAACCAAAATCTAACGAATTTATAATTGACCAGAGGAGTCTCTTTGATACATGTTGCATGCAACGTATGGCAAGAGTCTCTCAGTCTAGTAACAATACTAAACTTGACAACACAACTGAAATACGGCCTCTCACTCTCAGTAGCAATACTAAACTTGACAGCACAACTAAAATTATACAGCTCTTCTCAGTAGCAATTCTGAACTTGACTGTTGACTTGATTGACGATGTCAACCCTTCCAGATCGTTGCTCCGCGAAGCTCAGAGCAACGATCTCGTCATCTTGCTTCGATGCCAAATCGTCGTTTGAATGTTGGACAATTTCGAAAACTTAACTTAAGTACTAGCAAAACTGCGCGTTTTGCTCTAGAAACACACTTTTTTAGAGATTTTACCGGCGTACCCTCTAAAATCACCATCTCATCGTAGAATATGATGCTGATCGCGTACAGAGAATGCTTCCCGGAATCAGAATATTGAACAGACATTTTTTTAGGATTTCTTCGGATGCTGTAGATTTTTTAACAGATTTCGGCCTATTTATTTTGAACACTGAACAATCGGCCACATTTTTAACTTAATTTAATTTTAACCCGCCCATTGCACCTGCATGTTGCATATTTTGTTGAAATATAATTGTTTCACGAGTAGGTCCGCAAAAACTTAAGGATCTGCATTTTCGGACCTTATCAGTGTAGTGTAATATGGTAAGCTGGTTGCAGCAGGGTTTAGGCTTTTTAGATCTTGATTGATTGAGGAGCACTACCCGAAGGCATTACTCGGCACTAACGCCTTAAAATCTTTAATTACAATCAAATATAAATATATGCACACAATGTATAAAATATTAATAATGTATAAAATATGATTATGCTATTAGCAAATTTAAATAGTGCTATTAAGAATTTTAAATAACTCTTATCTCTTGACATAAATTTAGAACAGCGACACAGGGTCTGAAGAATGCGCGGTGATATTTTTATCTTTTAAAAGTTGTAAATGACAGTGAAATTGCGCGGTATCGATAGCATTGTAAAAAATGCTCGAAGATAGTCATAATTCGTTATGAGGTTAAAGTTTTGTTGCTCGTTATTATGATCATCGTATGTTGTACCAAATTATTTAAATTTCTAAAGTACGAAATTTGAGTTGTTCCAGTCCTTGTCATCCGGGTTAATATATAAGTGCTTGTGCAGTAAGCACATGCTTGCTGACTGTAGACTTGAATGAATTTAGGAATTTGTCTTGTAGGCAAGTGGTGACGTATTTTATGTCCTTGTTAATAATGTTGACTGTTTGTTATATAACTTAGGCCCAATGTAAGAAATGCTCTTGTCTGAATTACATAAACGGTTAAATGGTACTGCAAAGAACTCAGGTTCTCTTCTAGGTGCGTTTAAGTTTGAAACAGTGAACATTCCTATAATATTTGGTGGTGCAGTGTTAGAATAAACTTTGTGCATTAAGCATAATATACATTTAGCTATCACGTTCGGTAAAGCTAATATTTCTAGTTTATTGAAAATTTCCTTTGTGTGTGAAGGTGTACTATTCAGATCTTTGTCATAAAAATAGCGGTGGTATTGGTTATCTTTTAGAATATTCTAGTATAAGTGTTAAATAACCGTTAGGATTAGTGTAAGATTAGATTAGATTAGTGTAATAGATTATGGATGGTTTTGCGGAGGTAGACACGTGTTAGTCAGGTTAGCTAGTTAAGTTAGGTTATTGGACAGACTGGGCCGCGCGGTGTCACGTGGTTCGCCATGTGATGTCACGTGACCCAGTGCTGTTAGTGTTTGCTTGCCCCGTTAGCGGCAGTTCTTCGAGGAGCATTTAACGGTAAGGTTGTAAAAGTTACCGCTTCCGAGAACAGTGTAGCGTGGCCTTCGGGTCACTAGTCTTGGTTTATTGATCAAATAGTAATTTATTGCCATTCGAGACTTATTGTTCGAACACCCTGTTTCCTTTGTTCTTACCTAACTTAGGACTCGATCAAGTCATTCGATCTTTTAAAGTCATACGGCACTCAGTAGCCAGTAAGAGCTAAAGTGAAATTGCAGAGCTTGAGAGCTAGAGATTTGCAGGTATTCGTGTACGAGACTTCGATATCGTACCCGTATATTTCTTTAAGTACCGTGTACGACACTTCTCTATCGTACCCTTGTACATTTTAATTACCCGTGTACGCCACTTCGTTACCGTACCTTTGTGAGCAGGCAGTGTTGTCCATTGGTTCGCCCCAGGAGGATCGATCTGGTTGCCAACCTTATTTTACACTAAGTGGGCCATCCTATATTTCTGAAAATAGAAGAGACGTCGACTTTATTTTATATAAAAATATCTCAGTTATTTTGTAGGAAACGGTATAGAATGAACCTGGTATCTAGAAAATAGGATGGTGATGTAATTATATCGAAGTACCTGGTATATAGAGATGTTTCACTTTGTCTTTACGTTATATAAACACTGGGTATTTACTAAATAAAATATGTGTATACTAATAATCACGACACATTTTTATTATCATACTTAATCTTAAAGTCGCTATGAGTTTTATGTTTCATTTAATCAAAACTTACCATTCAGGCTGGAAAATGTTATGAAAACTTATACAGCGAAAACAGTGGACAAGTTTGCCAGCTGACTATTTTTTACATATTGTGAGTAGTAGAAAATGTATACCTTTTTAATTAAACATTCCTCATGTGCAATAAAACACATGCATTATTTGTCTACTATTTCATATTTCCAAAAGGAGATTTCTCAGTATCCTTTTAAAATGGTAATTATAGTGCGGTCCGGACTCTAGAGCTTGAGACTCTGGGGCAGCGCCCTACGAATTTAAGTATCGAGGGAAGGTTACCCAATTACAATATGCTTTTTTTTTCCAAGAATTTTGTTGCGGCCGAAATTAGCGCTAAAAAATCATCTTACCGTCGGCTTACTGTAAATGGCGCACTACCATTACCTACCTAGACCAAAAATTCTAGAAGGTAGACATTTTAAACTTTTCACTTAAAACAACAAAGTTAAGTCATACGAAGTGCCGTAAAGTTTACATCCATGGTAATTCGTGAACGGTTGCTAATATCGGGGAAAATTTTGTAGTTTATAACCTACCGTACCAAAACGCGTGCCGAGTTGGACTCGTTGACGGAAGATGATTAATCACTCTACACTCGACTGTCACGTGACTTCTTCAACCCGTTCTCTAGCTGGCCCTGAACGACTATTCAAAACCCTGACCCTCTAATCTGATCCCAACGTGATCGAGACAGTTTTTCGCCAATATCTCGCCAGAGAGCATTTTAACCCTATGTCATGGGGGTGATTCGGAATCAGCGTCCGAAAATACATCGATTCAAGTTGGTTTCAACTGTCGGGGGCCCTTTTAGAACAATCTCGAAGATCGACTGTAGAGTGATTTAGCACGCTCGCTCGTTGACGGTCTAAATCTAATAGGGTTTGGAACAAATATTTTATTTTTACGAGTATATCTCACCCGTTAAGAAAAACTGCCAGTCACTTTTGGAAATAAATGTTGTGTTTTAAAGAATTATAAAAGACACTATTTGAGGCAACGAAAAATTCGCAACTTGCTTTAAAATTACGTAACGTCCGTACTAACCAACTATGGCCGTTCGTATATCAAGGACCGTGAATATATATCTATATTAATTTGAATAACTGTCCGCAAATGCAATATGATACTGATAATGAATCCGGTCGCTCGCTTTTTCCATTCATTTACAATTGTAATAGAAAACCCACTTCCCAATACACGACTTCCGATGAGATAGATATATTTATAATAGTATAAAATATATAACTATAAGAGCCACGGTCATGCTTGCCAGCATGACTGTGATAACCATAAACCATGACATGATTTTATTATTATAATTATAGTCGCTATGACTTATGAGTTTTATGTTTCATCTAATCTCAACCAACAATTCAGGGTGGAAAACAGCTGCAGTGAAAAACAGTAGACAAATTTGCCAGCTCACGGTTTTAACAAATTGTGAGTAGTAGAAGATTTATAATTTTTTAATTATACATTCCTCATGTGCAATAAAACCCATTTTATGCATTATTCGTCTACTATTTCCAAAAATATATTTCGCTGTGTCCTTTTGAAATGGTAATTTAAGTGCGGTCCAAACTCTAGAACCCGAGACTCTAGGGAAGCGACCTACAAACCAGGGCTCTAGGGCGTGGAGACTTGAATTGATAATTACATAAATACACATTAGTAACACAAGTATCAAGAGTAATTAGAATTTTTGAATTGTAGTCACATTTCTTAGTAGAAAGCCTGGTAACACAGTCAAATAGCTTTAAGTTTAAACAAACCGTGTTAATTAAAATCATTAATGGGACACATTGCACTGCACTATGAAAAGCAACACTGTACTGCAAAACACAGCTAGTGTGAAATAGAAGGCGGCAACCAGACTAGTCCTCCCGGGGCGTGCCAATGATAAACTTTGCCTGCTCACAAGTACTACACACTACACACTGCACTAATTTAGTCGTTTAGCGACTAAAAACTATAATTACTCACGATAATTAAGTATCGAACACTAGTCTAACACGATAGATACAATATCTTAGTATCGTATGCGTAAATAGAAAGGGTACAATATCAAGTATTGTATAATAATGTGAATTACGAAGGTACAATAATTGGTATCGTACACAAATATAACCGCAAACCTCTACATTGTACAATGTACAAGCAGTACTTGCTGTGAAGGGGCGTAGGATACGATAACACAAGTATCGCTCTACTCTAAATCTTATACACTTAGGTGTAGTATTACTTTCAATCGGTGACCGACAACTAGGAACCTCTCATTCCCGGCTCCCACAGGTATCACATCACATGGCCCAATCAGTGACGTATAATTTGTGATGTGATCCATATTATAACCATCCTAACAGCCGGACAACCAAGAACCTGGGTAGGGTTCAAATGACAGTTAAGAAGCTGTGTATTATGAAGTATATTAAGAAGTGTTTGAGCTTTCAATTCGATCTTACACGCAATTTAGTGCTGTAATGTACTTTCAATACGATCCAATGACTAGAATTCGATTACTAAACTACAGGGTGGCCCAAAAGTAACTGCCCACACGCAACCCTTTATTAACTCACGTAATTCTTCTTAGGGGGGAGCCAAGTGGATATTTGTAGATATTTGGATAATGTCATCCACTTTTTTCGTGAATTATCCATTACAATAATCTACAAATATCTACATTTATCTACAAAAAATGTATATCTCAAATATGTGCCCAGAAATTCTACTGAATTTTTGGAGATAAATGTATAAATTTGTAGAATTTTCGTGAATTATCCATTGACAATAATCTACAAATATCTACATTTATCTACAAAAAATGTAATCTCAAATATGTGCCCAGAAATTCTACTGAATTTTTGGAGATAAATGTATAAATTTGTAGAATGTCATCCACTTTTTTCGTGGATTATCCATTTTACATTAATCTACAAATATCTACAAATATCCACTTGTCTCCCCCCCTTCTTAGAATTGCACAGAAATTTCAGAGATTATAGATATGGGTCAAACTTAGAGTTAGATATCCTAAAAGTCCCGTCAAATTTAATTAAGTAAAACAAAATTTAAGTAAAACAAAATTTAAATTTTATTGCCATATTGCAATGAATAATAATATCATAATAAACATAGTTAAACTTAAACATCCGATAATAAACTCATGAATATTGGATATGCTAACGAAATGTAAAATAAGCTTTTTACTATACGGACACGTTTATTCGAGTTTGAGGATATTGGTAAACAAAAATAATAGCGTTTTCGACGATAGTGGCTTAATTTTGACATCTATTAACCTAGCACGTTCAGAAGTTCTGAACATTAGCCACGTAACACATACTCCCATATGCACTGCGCAGAAAGAAAATCTATTGTTGTTAAGCACTATAATGTTTCAAATGTCACATTTTGTGTGACTTAGTTAACTGTAGTTGTCTACAGTCTAATTATCATTCCTTGGTCTGAAATATAGTAGATTAGGTCAATCTAACAATTACCTTAATTCCCAAAAATTTGGGCGACAAAAAATTTGAGCGGGCCTCTCGCCCAAATTTTTTGCAGACCAAATTAATTGCATACATTTTTTCCGTCTGCTAAATTTTTTGCTAACCAAACTTTTGGCATTTGGCCTGTGGCCCTGAAATCTATAGAAAGATGGCTTTTTCTTCATATCCAAGTGAAATAATATTTGAAATTTTAGTTTTCTAATCTGTCATTCATGGCTTGACCAAGTAAAAAGGCTTATATTTTAAATGAATAGAAATAACTGGAATAGCTAACAGCTACTAATAAAACAAATGGCTAGAGGTACGGATAGCTAGAGATTTAAACAAGATCTGCAAATGGATTATCATCCACCGTAAAGTCTGATCTACAAGCATCAGTTATACCCGACTTCTCAAAGCCTTTCCTTATGTCATCTTGCCTCCCTTTTAAATATACAAAAAGTTCGTTGATCCAACGAGCGTGTACTTCACGGATCACTGTCAAGCGGGTATCAATTTTCACATTGTCTGATGAAACTGATGATAATTGTATGTGAAAGGGGTATGATAAGATATGCTGAGTGTAAGTAGACTAAACTATCTGATTGAGAGACTAAATATCACTATTGTATATCTATCATTTTGTACTGTGCCATCATCACTGTATTTTTTAGTAGTTACTGGGCAGATCGTAAATTTCATAATGTGAAACAACTCATACTACCACCTACATGCTTAAAATTGAAAGCAAAATGACTGGAATAATAAGGAATAATAATGAACTAAGGCAAATATCTAACTGAAATTTTAGTGGAAAATCGTTCATTTTTCAAAGAATTTGTGCCCAAATTTTCGGTCGCCCAAATGAGTTCAAATTTTCTGCCCAAATTTTTCGGGCTCAAATAAATTGTGCTCAATATAATGGCACACAAATTTTTGGGAACTAAGGTACGATACAACATTGGTTAAAGGGCATGGATCGAACGGTTACAAGGCAATATTTGGGTAACTTTGTCACAGTCAGAATACCATACCTCTATTCTACTGTGAGGTGTCCTCAAAACCCTTTTATTTTTTAACTCATTATTTGATGGTTGATGTACCCATCATAGCGCTAAAATATGTTGTTTTGAATAGTTAGCTAATACAGGCACTTGGTTATTGGGAAATGAGGTTAATCCTGTCACAATATATGGAATTTTAAATTTTGGGCGAATTATTTATATCTGATTTTGATTTGAAAGGCGGGAAAACTTTATATGATGACAATGCAGTTGATGCAAGTTAAGATCAGTTGATGTTTACATTGTCACAAAAAATGATACGAAATCGTAAATAGGTTAAAAACAATGATTATAGAATGAAATAGTCTCTTATAATAACTCTTATAATAACTGATGTGACAAAGTAAACATTTCTTGCCCCTATTTTGAAGATCTATATATTCTGTAACTCTATTAGAATTCAACATTCTTTCAGAAAAAATTGGTAGAATATTGTTCAGAACATCAGAGCTCAAGTTTAACAATTTTAGGTTAAATTTGTCAAAGTCACTAAAAATGTGACAAAATTAACTTTTCCTGCCCCAACAATTTCAAGATAGTGTGTAAAAATTAGCATAAGCTGCTTTATTGCCTATATTAATCGATCCAAACTACGAAAAAGATCTGTTAATGTGATGACGATTACCTAACTCTAATAATAACTGATGTGACAAAGTAAACATGTCTTGTCCCTATTTTGAAGAACTATACCTCTATTAAAATACTATGTAACTTTATCATCAAAACAATTTCGATAAACTAGTTATTTTGCCAGCAAGGAGCTAACAGAGTTATAATAATTTGTTTGTGACGAAATTACCCTATTTTTGACCATGTTGCGGTAGTTTAATTGTGACACTGTTAACATATTACACCCGATAATGATTTATGTGACTGGCGCATGGTACTAGCAGTGTTGTTTGATCCATAGTACGTAATATAAGGGGTTTAAGCTGGTATATCATTATTTGTTCAATTTCACACATGTTCAGATATCATCAAGATTATGTGACAAAGTAAACTTGTTTGTGCCTTCTGTGTTTTAATTCCTTACGACTATATGCAATATAATAACAATTCCTAGCACTTCCAGGCCATCAAATAAACCTACACTACTCAGCATTGCTTATCAGGGTGCCCTAAACATTCTTCACATATTTTCTTAAATGTGTGACAGAGTAAACCTGAGTGCACCATCTAACGAAAAAAGTCGTCAAATAAGTAGGTAATGGTCATATGTAGTATGTACCCATCCAATCAACTGGACACTCAAAAATTTGGTCAAAAACGGCAGCAAGGGGTCCATATTTACTCCGTCACATGTTTATAGTGTGACAATGTAACCATTCCCGTGCCGGCCGTATTTAAGCGATATCTTATCACCTGATTAAGATATCGTTATGTGACAAAGTTAGCCTAGAGGATGAGGAGATTATCCTAACCATCAAGGGTTTGTGTAATTTCATAGTGTGACAAATTCAACTACACTGTGCCTTTTAATAGGGTCACTTATATTTACCAATATCCTCAAACTCAAATGAACGTGTCCATATAGTAGTGAACTACTTAACTCGAAGATTCGTCTCAATCATACATTTTTATCAGCGCAATTCAAAATTTAAATAAAAATTCTAAAGCAGAAGTGAACGTTATTCAAAAAATATATTTCCTCAACTGACTTGTTTTCTAAATGTTTAAATTTTATAAATAAATAGTCCATAATGTCTTGTTTCACTTATACCCGAAATACCATTTCTAAAGCACCACCCCAAGCCTGATATCAGCTGCAAGCACAAACATATAAATTGTTTAAAGATTTTCACACCATATTATTGAATAAATTGCATATTAGGATGTAAAAAGTTTAATATGTAATACATAACACATAATATATAATATAATACACGTT